CACACACACACACACACACACACACACACACACACACACACATATATAGTCAATAAAAGCCTCGGCGAGATGGCTCTATAAGTAAAGGCATATAATATATGCTCAGTAAAAGGCAGTGGTTATCTGTAATGCTTTGTGTTCATTCCATCGCTTTTTCATGATTCACTTTAGAAAGTAAAGCTACCTTCTCCCTGCCTTACATTTGTTTTGCCCCATATGTTGTTCTCATAAGGAGCTGGTGCTTTGAAATCCTATCTCTGACCAGTGTTTAGGGTTAAGTGAGAAAATGGAATAAATTAAGCATACCATGGTAATCTAGGTAAATCTTGGTGATGCCAGACCACTTAGAGATCTGAGGGCTGGTTCTACAACTTGTCACCAACTATTGCATCCTACCAGGACTACTTAGAACAGTAGTCTTTAGCCAACAAGATGGCTCAGTGGGTAAATCCACTTGCCACACCTGAGTGTGAGCCTCAGAACCCACATAAAGGTGGAAGGGAAGAACAGAACTAACTCCACAGAGTTGCCCTCTGACCTCCATCCAGGCACTCCCCTCCACACACATTATGCACACACATACTAATAATAAATAAATATTTCTTTAAGCTTTAGAACAGTAGACTCCAAGCATTTTGGATTGTATAATCTATCAATAAAAATAATGGATGCACATTTTCCTATCTGGGTATAGTTTTTACATTATTTTATTACACTAATGTAGTATATGTAATATAATGTAGTACTATATATATATATAATAACGCATGTGGGAAAATGAGATAACACATGAAAAGAATTCTAGAATCTCAATAATTTAAAAAATTCTGTTACTTCCTTCTCTCATTCCCAATGACTACTCTCAAAATACCTTGGAGACTATTTGTTGAGAGGATTAAATGAGATAATCATCATGGAAAATATTCCATAAGATTTAAAGTGCTATTTAAATATTACATAATTACAATTCAAACACAATGTTTAAATTATTTTTAATCACACTAGCCCATCATTATGATACCAAACACTGTCATTATCCCTATGTTACAGATAAATAGAGGAAAGCCAGAGAGATCAAAGTCACAAGGCTAATAAGACCTGGGGTCTGTCAGACTTCAAAGGTGGGGCACTAAGTGTCCGTGTAATAGGGTGCTATGGGATGTTGCAGGGAACCAAGGCACAACTGCTGAAGGCCGGATTCTGAAGCTCTTCCCACCCAGTCACAAAGCCCAAGTATCCCCACAATCCACAGAATTGTTAACTCAGGAGCCTCTTTCTTTTCCAGGGCTTGTCTTCATGCCGGGAACAATCCAGCTGACAAGAAAAGACATCCTCTACCGCCTGCAAATATCCAAGGCCAAGTGCATTGTGGCCAGTGAGGAAGTGGCCCCCACAGTGGAGTCTGTTGTGTCAGAGTGCCCCAATCTGAAGACCAAACTTCTGGTGTCTCCACAAAGCCAAAATGGATGGCTAAGCTTTCAGGAGCTATTTCAGTGAGTATATTTCTTTCTGGGGCACTAATAACAGCAGAAATCCTATACATCTCCGAACGTACTTGTCCAAAGGCTCAGCAGCATTTTGAGTTGATCTAGGCTCCTTCCCAGAAAAGAATTATCTAATGAAATGGTTTACAGGCAGAAGGAAGAAAAGCAGCTCTGCCCTGCTTTCCTGCTTCTTCTGTGGCCTGTGATGAGTACTCCATAGGGGCTGGCCTTTGCCCAGTTCCTGGGCCGCATCTATCACCACTCTCCCTTTTATTCCTCAGGCATGTACCAGCTCAGGGCCTTTGCACCTGCTGTTTCTTCTGCCTGAGATGTTCTTTCCTACTCCTTTTCAGTTGTTGCTTCTTGTCAGATTTCAGCTCAAATGTTTTATCTTAAGCAATACTATCCCTGGCCAACCTGATGAGAGCTACAAGGCTCTCCCCTTCATGGCACCTTTTGTTTTCTTAATAGCACTGGTCCCTTCTGAATGATCAGACCAGCCATTTGTTCTCTTAGATTCTGTTTTTCGTCTCTGAAGTAGGGATTAGAAAAATTAAGGTCCAGAAGCCAAAGATAGCCTACCACTTGTTTTTTATAAATGAAGTTTTATTAGAACACAGAGAATCCCATTTGTTTACATATTGTCCAGACTGCTTTCTTGTCATGGTAGCGGAGTAATTCCAGTAGAGACTGTGTATGAGGTGTTGCATGCCTTTAATCCCAGCACTTGAGAGGTAGAGGCAGGTGGATCTCTGTGAGTTCAAGGCCAGCCTGGTCTACATAGTGAGTTCTAGGCCAGCTGGGGCTACAGGGAGACCCTGTCTCAAAAAAAAAAAACAACAAAGCAGCAACAACAACAACAAAATAGTCTATTGTTTATGGTATACAAAGCCTAAAATATTTGCCATCTGGCCCTTTGCAGAAAACATTTACCAGCCCCTGCCCTAAATCATATGCTCTAAGGAAGCAGAGGCTTTGCTTGCTATTTGGTTGATTGCTTTATCTCCAACACCTAACAACAAATAGCTGAGTGGCTAAGAAATATTTAATAAGTGAATGAACAAAACAGAACAACTTCAACTTTCTTCATATGCAAAGGGATAATTATACTGAAAATATCTAGTGATGGTTTGAGGACATGTAGGAAATATTTCCTAAGCTATTAAAAAATGAGAAAATATTTACAGGTGGCATTATCCACCCATGAAGCCTTAAATAACTTATGTCATAAAAATTAAAAATCAAGTTGGTGTCTTTTGTAAGCTGTGATCTCAGGCAGATCAAGTAACAGTTATGAAAGTCTGTGTCTTTATCTGTGTGTTTGTCTTAATCCATGCTGTGACAGCGTGGAGTTGCAGAGAAACCAGATGGACAAAGCAACATGACACGCTTACCATGATGTCTTGTACAAGTAATCGCTTGTAGAGTACAGTAGTCATAACTGTTATCACTGCTATTGTCAGGTTAATCAAGTGATTCAACAGTGTATGATTTTTAAAGTAGTAGCATATAAATTAGTTGAATATTCATCTCCAACAATAAAATACTTTTAACACATTCCTCTAATATATTCATTTATGTTTTTAAAAATTATATACATGTACATTTGTACATTATACAAATATCAAAAACAAAAATTTTAAAGAAAAACTACATATGTCCAGGCATGGTGGCACATGCCTTTAATCCTAGCATTCAGGAGGCAGAGGCAGGCAGATCTCTATGAGTTCAAGGCCAGCCTGGTCTCCATTAGCAAATCCAGACCAGCTGCCGCTACAGGGAGATCCTGTCTCAAAAAGACCAAAAAGGAAAAAAGAAAAAGAAAAAAAAAAACTGCATATAAGGGACGTAGTTCACTGATATAGGACTTGCTTAGTCTGTACCACATCCTGGGTTCAATCCCTAGTGCCACAAAAATACATATCATTAGAAGTTCTCCTGTTTTCTGTTCCAGTTGCATAACATGTGACCCTACCTCAGAGACCCCTAGCTTAAATAAGTCGAAATTGAATCTTCATGAAATCTTAAAGGGGTAAAGAAAATAACAAAATAAAGAAGCTTTATACTTACATGAATTTCAAGTTGAAAGCTATACACTTGAGGGGAGTTTTCAAGATTCAGGAAATCCTCACTTCATAAACAACTTTAGAATGTCATAACTTCACAATGAGTACAGATCGTTTTTCTGAACACAAAGTCAGGGACGGCTGTCTCATTGCAAACAGCTGCCCAGTTTGGGGGCCTTGTTGTTTGGTTTTGGTTTTTAGAAAACCACACGGAGCAATAATGAGGGGTAATCTTCTCTTCCAAAAATCCGTATGTAGGCCTGTACCCTGCTTTTGATTCCCCAAGACAGAAGTCATGAACACTTTCTAGAATATTCATAATAGGATAGAGGGAAAAGTCAAGATTATAGACCAAACAGAATTTTTTCTGCCTTAATACAAAGGACCATGTTCTGTATGCCTAGGATTCTGGATTCTGAACCTAAGGCATTTAGGATGCTGTTCAAAGTACGGGAGCAGCAATCGCGAAGATATGGCCGAATATAATACCCCCCAAATGCTCCTGAAGTACCCAGGGAATGAATGGCCACCCTTTTGGGAGCTTGTACAACAAATTATGGGATCAGAGTAAAAGCCAGAAGAGTAAACAGAGGCAAGATTATGAAAGGTGTCATATGCTATGCTAGTCGTGTGTTTGTGTGTGTGTGTGCGTGCGTGTTGTGTTGTGTTGTTAAGGATTGAACCTAGGGTTTCACCATTGCTAGGCAAGCACTGTGCCACTAAGCTATATTCAGCTGTCTTCCCTACATTTAATTTTGAGACAGGGTCTCACTGACTTGCCCAGGATGGCCTTGAGCTCATTTTGTAGCCCAAGCAAACCTTGAGCTTGTGCTTGTTCCACCTGCTTCAGCCTCTCAGTTTGCTGGGATTCTAAGCCTGTGCCACTTTTCCCAGCAGCCATGCTAAATCTCAAGCTTGATCGGTCAGAAGGAAAGACATTGATGGGTTTTAAGGAGGGATATGACAAGGTCGAGTTTGGATGTTAAATAGACTTCTGTAGACTCTGCACAGAGAATGAATCTGAGAACGGCCAAATTGGAATCAGAGACAACATTGGAACCTAGGCTAGGGGAGGGATGGTGGGAAGCTAAATCTGAGCTCTGGTGAATGGAATGGAGAGGAAAGGGTCACCTCAGAAGCTAGCAGGACTTGAAGGCTGATTGCATTTGGAGGATGAAGGAAGCAGGGGTTAGGGTTGATACGCTTTTTTTGTTGGGGGATTGGGTGGTTGGGGTTCTGTCCTTTGGAGAAAGATGGAACTGGAGGTGCAGCTCAGTGCTTGTCTAGTATGCACAAGGCTTTGGGTTCCATTCTCAGTACTACAAAAAGTAAGATGAAATAAAAAGCCACCATGGTGGTACATACCCACCAAACTCATCATTCAGGAGGTTAAGGCAAGAGGATGGAGGTCTTAAAGCCAGCCTAGTCTACATGGCAAGACACAGTCTGTAAACAACTAAGAAAAATGAAATAAAAGAATTAACCAACAGAGGGGGTTCTAAGATAGTAGGTTTAGAGCTGGGCATATTGAGATTAGAGATCTGTGAACCTTTATGTATCTACCAGACAGTGAATATTTGAGCCTTGGGTGTAAAGATAATCTGGAAGTTATCAGCTCATCAGCTCTGAAAACCCGGAAAGACAGAACTTAGAACTCAGATAGCCAAAAAGAGAGCAAGACGTCAGGCTACGGCATCCCCACCTGAACATCTCCCTGTCACTAGGAGATTGTAATGTCTTATTAAACAAGTAAATAAAAGCCTTATATTAAAAAATTTTAAAGTTTCCTTACTAGATTGGGAAATGTACAAATATCAGAGTTTTCCCAACCTAAGATGTTCAATAACATGAAGTAACCCTTTCTAGAACCCCAAACAACCAACTTCACCCTATATTTATGCCGGAAAAAAAAACTCTCGATGTTCTTTTATGAGGAAAGAGAATTACCAAAAGTATCTCAAAATTTTGTGAAAGTATTTCTGGCATTATAGACTGAGACAAATGTATAGTTAATGCTCACTACTTTGCAGATCAATGACAGTGTTCATCATTAAAATGAACTTAAGACTAGAGATATAGCTCAGATAAGAGTGTTTGCTTAGCATGCATGAAGCCCTGGGTTCAAGTTCCAGCATCTCATGAACTGAGTTGAGTGGCAGGAAGATCAGAAGTTCAAGGTCATTCTCAACTGCACAGTGGATTTGCAGCCAGCCTGGGCTCTATGAGACGGTGTCTCAAATAAAATAATGAAATAAAATTTTCAAATTCATTAAAATTACATCTTTTACTACTAATATTTCAAAAATGGAAATTAAAATATGATACATATACCTCAAATTCTTAGATATTTTATTAGTTATCCATCATTGACTAGCAGACTATTCAATACTTAATGGTGTGGACAAAAACATTTTATTTGCTTACATTCTGTGAGTCAGAAATTCACACAGGGTTCACCAGAGGCAACTGATCTTTGCTTCACATCAGGCTGATGGGGCCAGAATATCTGAGACAGGTTTACCCACAAGCCACTGGTGTGTCAGCAGAAGCACCTTAGTTCTTCACCTGTCCCCTCTGTTTAGCAGCACAATATGAGCATCTTTACATAGTAGATGATTCCCCTACTCTCCAAGGAAAATTTTTACAAAATATGAAATCTTTAAGGGATAATCACGAAGTCTCAGAACTAATACCCTCAGAGTAGTCACAAATCTGGATTTAAGGACAGAGGACATCAGATCCAACCTTCAACAAGGGAATAATAAACTTGTCAAGGGATGGGAGAAATTGGAGAAGCTTACACAGAGATTGTTGTCAGTCAGAATGCTTTTCACCTTAATAATCCAACTAAAAATTATCCTTAAAATATCATCATTTTTATTATCTCACAAATAAGTGTAGAGTTAGAATGAACTAAGGGCTGGTTGATTCAGTGGCTCAGTGGATTTAGCATGGACCGCAATTCAGCTGTCTTTCGTCATGTCATTTTCAGTACGATGCCAGGATGACTGGGGATGCTCCAAACATGCACATGGTCTACATTGTACACAGCACAATATTCAAGGGTGGGTTGTGAAGCAGGGTGGATGGGGTGGGAGAAGGTGGCACCCCGTCTTCATTGCTCCTTTTTTCTCATGTAAATATGTGTATGCAATGTACATTTGTGGGTACATATGTGGGAGATGCACATGTATGTGCATGCATGTAGAGGCCTGAAGCTGATGGTGGGTGTCTTCCTCAGTCTCTCCATCTTACTCATCGAGGCACAGTCTCTCCATTGAACCCAGAGTCTGGCTAACCAGCTTGCTCCAGGGATCCCATTTGCACCTTCTGAGCACTAGAATTACAAGTGGGCCACCACACCTGCCTGACATTTGTGTGGGTGCTGGGATCCAAACTTTGATTCTCAAGCTTGCCTGGCAAGCACTTTAATCACTGAGCCATCTCCCCAGCCTTCATTACTCTTTTTACAACAAGCAATGTTTCCCTGTGGGGCTTTATAGCTCATTGACTGTAATAGTAGCAGATACCCATTCCTAATGATTCTGATTAGCTAAGGCTAATCGTGACTTACTGAGTCAGTCTCCCCTAAAGTTTATGACTGCTGAGTACCTGAACAAAATCAGAGTGTTATTAGTTCAAGAAAATAAAGGAATAGATGTTTGATCAGGTACCAGCTATTTCTGTCAGAGATGTTGAAGATACTGAACAAAAAAGAAGACAAATAAATGACTCAACACTGCAACTCAAGACACTTGAAAAGCAACAACAAATGAAACCCAAACCCAGCAGACAAGAAGAAATGACAAAAATCAGAGCAGAAATAATGAAATAGAAACAAAGAAAACAGTACAAAGAATCAATGAATCCAAGAGCTGGTTCTTTGAAAAGATAAACAAGATTGACAGACTGCTAGCCCAGTTAACCAAAAGAAAGA